TCCCCAAAACCCCAAAACCCCAAAACCCCAAAACCCCGTGATGAAAAGCCAAAATTGGATCTATAATATTTAAATTAAAATATGCAATCTTCCACACAAGAGAAGGTGATATCGTCTCATTTCCAGAAGTCTTCTCTAGAGGAAATCCTGAGTACGAGTTTTAAGTCTGTGTTTAGTTCAAAGAATTTGCCAGATACTCCATTCCCTACAATCTATAGAACAGTTAACTTTTATAAGGCCCAAGCTGATGTGGAGAATGCTAAAAAGGGGTTGCTGGAACATTTCTCAAAGAATGAAGTCCAGAGTGAGCGATACTTTGGGATCTGAAACTTACCTGCCACTGAAGGAATTTATGGAATCAGAGCTTTGCTTGAACTTCTTGACCCTAAAAATATTATCACTGTTAGAAAGAGGGCAATGCAGTGTATGATCGAACTTTCGAATGAAACTGCTGATCTTAAATTTGATGTAACGCATTCTATCGCAGGAGGATATGTACTCAAATCAGATCTATGAAAAAACCCAGAGTCATCTTCAGAGCCACTACTGATCTATTCCATCTTCAAAGCTACATCTTCAGATTTTGATGTGGCATATGATACCTTCTTCAATTATATTCACGAGGACATCAAGAACATGACCAGAATTGATATGGATTTCAATATCTTCCAGCAATTGATCCTTCAATTCAGAGACCAAGACGAACGAGTCAGGAAAAAGAAGTTTATTCTCGAAGAAATCCTAAACAACAAGGCTAGGATGCACTCTGAAATCATGAACTCTGTCAAAAATAGACAACTCATAGCAACAGAGTTGCTCATGAGAGTCAGAGATTTTGATAATTCCTCCACCAAAGCCTATAGGTATGCTACTCGAGGAGGTGTTGGAGACCTCCGCTACGGAGCAGCTCAAGAGGAAGAGGAGAAATATGAGTATATTCCAGTCAGAAAGGTGTATATTTTCCACTTCGTGGAAAAGAAACCTAGCTCTGAGGTGAACTTCATCTCATTCTCTTCAAGTAACCTCTGTGCTCTCGTAGAAGGCGTCTTCAACAGTTTAGAAGCAGCTGAGTCTTACGCTTCGTTCTATATGAGAAAGCAAGAGGAGGTCGATAAGAAATAAACTGTCTGGATATTTAGAAAGCAAATATGTCACTGTTTTCAATGACTATTATAGCAACGAATTAATCAGAGCTATTTGGGGAATCCATGGGATGATCTTGATCGAAAGTGAGGCGATTAGGTTCCAGATATTGGAAAATATCTTTGCTATCTTATCCCATCCAGTTTCGCAGTTGCTTCATCTAAGAAGTTTATCCAAAACAATTGAGGTATTGATCATCGCTCATCAAAATTACGGCCTACCTCAATTCAAGGATGCAATATTACACATGTTTAACAAATTTTACGCCTCAATAAACCAAATTATTGCTCTAGGTTTTGCCCCTGAAATCTTAGCTCTAAGAAAGTACCTTGAAGTCTTACTCAAAAATATTGCAGGAACCTCAGGAAAAGAGCTAGAGGTTGATATGCACTCTCTGGATGCTTTTAGAAATATGACAAGGCTACTCAAAACTGTCTGCTGCTCCATTGCTACTCAGATAGTTGACCAGGATAAAGTAACAAAAAGCTCGATAGATATTGTCTTGAATATCATGAAAGGCAACAGTGATATCCAAATTTACACCCAATCTGAGTTTTTAGCAAAGAAAAGTCCTGATAAAATAGTTGACGTCAAATCTGAAATTGACAGAGCTAGTAAGGAGAAAAGATACCCATCCAAAGACATGATGGAAAGTGTCCATATGCAGTATGTTGTAGACACATATTCTTTCGAAAGCCTGTTCTTCATTTTGAGAGACCTCATGATGAACCCACTTTATCCTAACTCACTTGCAATTTGAGAGTATAAACTTCAAGGTCACAATATTAGATTTGATATATATGGAGGCGTCTCAGATGTTGCTATTAACGAGACTGATTATAACAAGCCATATAAGAATAAAGAAGAGTCAACAAATATGTTCATTGTTGGGCATGACGAAATGAGTGACAAGGGAATTCCATTCCCTATCTCAGACTATCACACATTGTTTGCATGCTCTTCAATAGACTTGGGTCTGTTCAGAAAGTTCTTCAAAAATTATGAATGCTCCATTCCTCTTGCAGAGGATTATGAAGGTCTCAAGCTTCAGACCCTGCTATCCATCACTGGATATTCCATATTTAATAGGTATAAGAGACTAAAGAAGCAGACCTCTAGTTGGAATCTTTGATATGATTTTGTCTTCACAGGAATGGAATATGATAAAGCAATCATGAATTTCACAAATTTATTAATAAAATACTCTGTTTGGCTCCACAAAGAAACTGATTGAATTGTAAACGGTTTCTATAGTGATGGTGACCCAGATTCTCCAGCTCTCACATTGTATAAGATTCGTACAAATGAGGAGGCAAATGCTGGGGCCGATAAGCTCTTCGAATACTTCAACAATAGACTTAGGCTCTATCTCATCGTTCTGACTCCAGTTGAGAATACTTTCAAGAAAGTGAAGATTTACTTCAACTTGCATTTTAGGATAGACATTGATGTCCAGATTACATCTCTTCTACCTTTGGCAACTGTGAATGATATATCAAAGGTATTTTTCACAATCCCTGAGTACATAATGTGGGATAAGATTCTTAGAAGTCAGCTGGGTTACACCCCTACAGAGTTCCTACTTGAAGAATACAAGAACGCTTATCTTGGCTTCAGACTTCAAGAAGCACTAAAAACAAGAATTCTGATTATGATTTTAGACGAAAGAATTGATCATCTGAACCATTACATGAGACTTCTATATTCTCCATCAGAAGTGCTCTTTAATACCTCTGAAAGCGTAAGAAAATTTTGATAAATGTTTACAACAATTTCACTGACTTAACTTGAATTTAGATCAAAATAGTGTACCTCCTTTTGGATGATTACAATCAGAATGAGCTGAATAGGACAACTACTAAAAAGTTGCTAATTCAGCCGATACATACTTATTTTAAATTAGTAGCTGAAGAAGTTGAGATCACTATTTTGGATCACCATAACATTATTTGCGAAGGAAATCAAGTCAAGATTCTGAACCACCTCTCTGAAATTACTAAGTATATTCCTACTATAGAAGAACTTGATTTCCCTGAGAATTTAGAGGTACTTGATTTATGCAAAGGGAAGCTGAGAAGCATTGAGAATGACTTGAAAGTAATGTCTAGCATTTCAGTTTTATACTCTTCGGATTATTTAAAAAATGTGTACAAGATTAATTTGTATGATAATCCACTACTTATTGACTAAATCCAAATAATATACCAAAAATTCAATTAATTTTCTCCTTCTTGGGGTTTTGGGGTTTTGGGGTTTTGGGGTTTTGGGG